TTTTCAAGTATAAACCAATTCTGGTTTTTCCTAGCCAAAGAGCTCAGGTGAGCGATGTGGCCCATGGGCCTCTTGTTTAAAACCAATTTTAATGTTTACAATCATTATCTAAGGCAACATCTATTGATTAAGAAAAATTTGAACATCATTTGTTGATTAACAAACAAGATACAGAACTTAAAGTTCTTGCTAATGTAAACAAGGCTTGTGCCTTGTTTTTATACCCCCCGCAAACGAAGTTTAGGGGGGGTATATTGGAATCACTATGTCCGTCTGTCTGTAGACGAGATTTTGTTTGGACCATTACTCAGAAACTATGGAAGCATTTGTCTGAAAATTTGTACACATATTATTCACCATATGAAGTTGTGCCCCTGATATTTTCATCTTGATTCGATTATTATTTTGAATTTTACAGGTGTTTTTTCATTTTTATTTTGTGGTTTTGTCTGGACCGTTTCTCAGAAACTATTGCAAGGATTAATCTGAAAATTTGTACACTTATTATTCACCATATGAAAGAGTGCACCTGGAATTTTCAACCCTTTTTGTTCATTTTTTTGCATTTTACAGGTTTTATTTTTTATTTTAATTGACTTGTTCATTTTGGGCTCATGTATAAGGTTTGAGCCATAGAATCTAGAATATCTGTACAAAAATACTACAGCTGAAAAGTACTCATAAAAACATTTTAAAAAATCAAGTGTTAAAAAACAAAATGAAGTTCAGCAAATCAATAGTAACTGTTGATACGTTTTAAAAATTAACTTTTAATTGAAATTATTTTCCTTGAACGAACATATATAAGCATATTAACCTGTGTAAACAAAAACATGACACTAGCCTTGTTTACATAACAAAGGTTTGGAGCTCTAAATCTCTCTTGTATCTGACAACTGGTGTTAAAATTTTTGATGATCTTTAGATAGACCCTAGTTGAATATTTGTTAAAATTGAAAAAATAAATTTTGAAATTGTAGCTGTCAAAACTGTGTCTATGCCCTTTTAAAAATCTTCTTCTCAAGAATAACAAAGCCATAATTGATCATATTTATATGGAAGCATCCTCAGGTAGTGTAGATTCAAGTTTGTTCAAATCATGACCCCAGGGGGTAGGGTGGGGCTACAATGGCCAATCAAAGTTTAACATAGGAATATATAGGAAAAATCTTTAAAAATCTTCTTCTCAAGAACCACTGGGCCAGAAAAGATGAAACTCATGTGAAATCATCCTCAAGGTTGTGTAGATTCAAGTTTGTTCAAATTATGACCCCTGGGGGTAGGATGGGGCCAAATTGGCTGATCAAAGTTTTACATATAGGATTAGATAAGGAAATCTTTAAAAGTTGTCTTCTCAAATACTTTAAAACAATGATTAGTGATATTTATATGGAATCATTCTCAGGTGGTGTAGAATCTAGTTTGTTCAAATTATATCCTCCAGGGATAGGGTGGGGTCACAATGGGGGATCCAAGTTTTACATTAAAATATATTTAATGAAAATCTTCTCAAGAATAGCAAAGCCATGATTAGTGATACCAGTATTTATACGGAAGCTTTTTCAGGTAGTGTAGATTCAAGTTTGTTCAAATCATGACCCCTGGGGGTAGGGTGGGGCCAAAATGGCCGATCAAAGTTTTACATAGGAATATATAGGAAAAATCTTTAAAAATCTTCTTCTCAAGAACCACTGGGCCAGAAAAGATGAAACACATGTGAAATCATCCTCAAGGTTGTGTAGATTCAAGTTTGTTCAAATTATGATCCCTTGGGGTAGGATGGGGCCAAAATGGCTGATCAAAGTTTTACATATAGGACTAGATAGGGAAATCTTAAAAATTTGTCTTCTCAAATACTTCAAAACAATGATTAGTGATATTTATATGGAATCATTCTCAGGTGGTGTAGAATCTAGTTTGTTCAAATTATATCCCCTAGGGATAGGGTGGGGTCACAATAGGGGATCCAAGTTTTACATTAAAATATATTTAATGAAAATCTTTTCAAGAATTGCAAAGCCATGATTAGTGATACTAGTATTTATACGGAAGCTTTTTCGGGTAGTGTAGAATTAAGGTTGTTCAAATCCTGATTTAAATTTATTAAATCATGGTCCTTTGGGTTAGGTAGGGAAACAATGGGGAATCAAATTCATATGAAGTTATATATAAGAAGAAAATGTTTTTAAAAAATCTTTTTATGAAGAACAGCAAAGTAATATGCTCTATAAATATGAAGGCATTCTCAATTAGTATTAAATTCAAGCCCCCCCCCCCCCACCCCTCCTTCAGTAAACTTTTCAGTTCTGATCTAATCTGATTCCTAGCTGATAAGCTCAGGTGAGTGATGTGGTCCCTGGGCCTCTTGTTTTCTAGATGTGACTGTGTTCTTTATCCAAAGGTACGATGTATGAACACTATGAAGGTACATGTATGTACATCTGACATGCTTTAGAAATAAATGTACATGTAAAATTTTTGATTTTTCAATTCTTTTTAAAACGTCAAAATACTTCTGAAAAAGAAATTTCAAGTAAAGAAAATTGTTGTACAAAACGTTCGAATAGAAAAGAAATGGTAACGTTTTTTATATCTTTAATCAAGGAATACAACTTACAGACTTCATTATACCTGTAATATTTACATCCACTGAATATTTTCTCCTTTATTTCTTAAGAAACTCCATTGCGTTCATCACTGCATAAACTACAGTAGGCAGGTCGCCTGTACAGATTTCTTAATCAGTGGCTGTTCCATCAATGAAACGTATAAAGACGTTCGCATCATTAATACAATAATTAGTCTTTTTAATCCTACTTTAATTGATTATTTAAACAGATATAAATATAAACAATAAAATGCTTTCTTTGTTTGTTGTTACTGGAATGAACGGTCGCAGCTATTGCAGAAAAAAATTACATAACCCGCTTACGCGGGTTATATATTTTTTCTGCAACAGCTGCTTCCGTTCATTCCAGTAACAACAAACAAAGAAAGCATTTTATTGTTTAAATAAGGATAATATTTGTGCAATATTCCTTTAGCTCACCTGAGCTGATAACTCAAGTGAGCTTTTCTCATCATCTTTCATCTAAATATCTGTAAACTTTTCACATTTTTGACTTCTTAAGAATCGCTGCGTCAATTGAAGTCAATCTTTCAACAAAATATCCTTTAGTAACAGGGATTCAACTTTGTTCAAATGCAGGGCTATCCTCCACCAAAGGATAACACATAATTGCACATAAAAATTACACATAAGTGGAAAATCAGTTGCATCTTTTAAGAATCTCCAAAAAATACCATTCTAACACTAGATCTTAAAATTATACAGAAACATTTGCAAGAAGTGTACATTCAATCATGACCCTTTGTGTAGTAAAGGATGGGGCTAGAATGGCCCATCAAAGTTTTAAATAGGCAAAATCTGAAAATCTTCTTTCAAGAACATCAACGATTTGATTAGTTATATTTATATGGTAGTAGTTTACTTGTAGATTTAAGTTTGTTCAAATTATGACTCCCAAGGGTACATGTAAGATGGGACCACAATGGCCAACAAAGTTCTATACAGGAATAGATAGGACAAACCTTTTTATCAAGAACAGGATAACCTTGATTAGACATTTATATATGGATGCATCCTCAGATGATGTAGTTCCAAGTTTGTTTCAAACATACCATGCCCCCAATTTTATCTTTAAAATACTCCTCAGATGAGCGAGGTGGCCCATGGGTCACTTGTATTGATATTTTTCAGAATTTAAAAATAAGTAGCCGCTGAAAGTATTGCATGCTCAATCACATGAATTCTATAGTTGGTCAAATGTACAATTGCAAAATGGCAATTTAAGTGTAAAAACCATGAGAATGTGGCAAGACTATAAACGTTTAAAAATCGCCTTTATTTTCTCTGCTATATTGTCATATGTACTGAGAAAAACAATCCAATTATTTTCTTGTGAGGAGTTGACATACTTCAAACTGAAATCTGCGGTCCCTAGAAAGAAATCAATATAATTGAGAATTGAATCAAGTACAAAAAAATTAAAGCAATTGCAATTCAGTATTGTCAACCCATGGTCAAAATCATTAAAATACCCTATCTTTCTATTTGTTAAAATTGATAATATAGAGAAAAAAATGTATTAATACATGTGTGCAATATTCAAACATATCCAATGAAAACGGCTATTGCATGGTCACATGTTAAATTATCATGTAATTAAAAATTCATCTTCGGTTATTTAATTTTCATGCACAAAGTATATGAATTCATTTAATATATATGATCATATACCTGTATATACTTTCGTAATATAATTATTATAAGGGATGTGAAGATTGATTGATTGTATACTGTGCGTCCCTCTCCAGAATATTTCACAGATATATATATGGAGACGTCACCATTGCCGGTGAAGAGCTGCAAATTTAGGCCTATGCTCGGCACTTAGGGCCATTGAACAGGGGGGATCTTTATCGTGCCACACCTGCTGTAACACGGGGGCCTCGGTTTATACGGTCTCATCCGAGGGACCGCCCCATTTAGTCGCCTTTTACGACAAGCAAGGGGGTACTGAGGACCTATTCTAACGCGGATTCCTACGGGGCGGGTTGTGAAGAAAGTTATGAAGAAAATTTGTCGATGGAATATGTTAGAAATTTTAAAGTACATGTAGTGCTCAATTGATGAGATGGATTTTCTAGCCTAACAAAATAACAAGATTATGCTTTAGATCATTTATAGCAGGAAATTATAGTTTTCTTTCATAAACTAGTACATGTGTATGAAAATTTATAGAGATATGTTTATATAGCACCCACACGACAGAAGTGCTGTCATTTTGTGTGAGAATAGAGGATTCTTTACAGCATATCTTGCATAATACAAAACTGATGAGCTTAGGTATAAGAAAGAATAATAATTATGGTAATATGTAATTTTGTCGGTTCCTATAATTGACCTACTCATAATCATCGTTATGGACACTGTTGACTCCACGCAAAACATAACCGTCAGGAACAAAATACGCCACTGGATCATCAAAGTTATTCAGCCATCCAGTCCATCTGCAATTACGGTAATAGTAATCTGAAGATAAAAAAAAAGTAAGAACAGTCCTTTGAATTTTTTCCGAAAATACCCAATTCAATTGAAATAATATCCTGTATGTTCCCTGTATTTTGATGTGGCTTGTATTGCAGAGTATTCATCGCCTGCTTTTAGCTTCATTTGAGATGTAATTAAATGTAAGAGTAACTGGCATTGGGTTCATGCATTTTTGTTTCAAAAAGTAATAAATCCAAGTATACTAAGAATTTAACATTTTTTTTTCTTTTAGCACATGCATGTAATTATAGCCTAACATTAGAATAAAAAGGAAACAAAAGGGAATTACTTTACATTCTTGCTAAGTTATAATAAAATCATACCAAATTTGTGCAGATAGTTAAGTTGTCAAAGTTTTTAACTACAGTTCCTATTTTAGCAACCATGGCAACACCCTCATCGAAATTAAACACTGATTTAAGAAAATTGTATATGTTGTGGGGCAGGTTTTGTTGAAATCTTTGGAAAAATATATAGCTTATGGAGACTGTATGTAGACAAATGGACGACGATCGCGAAATCTTTTCCATCGCATAAGCTCTGGACAATTTAATTGAGCAAACAATTTTCTTCTCTCTCCCCTCTAGATCTCTTTCAGTATGTATATTAAGGACCCTCTCTACACAGCACCGTAATTTCAGCGTTCTTGCGTGTAGTTAGACTGAACCAACATTTGATTGATTGATTAGTTGTATATAATTGTTTAACGTCCCTCTTGAGAATTTTTCACTCATATGGAGACGTCACCGATGCCGGTGAAGGGCTTCAAATTTAGACCTATACTCGGCACTCAGGGCCATTGAGCAGTGAGGGTTCTTTATCGTGCCAACGCCTACCGTGACACGGGACCTACGTTTTTAAGGTCATATCCGAAAGACCCGTGACTTTCACTTCTAGTGCCGAGCGCTTGGCGAAGGAACAGTCACTACCTTTGTTTACGTCTTAGGTATGACGCGGCGCCGCGATCGAGAATCGAACCCGGGCCTCCCGATCATGAAGCGAACGCTCTACCACTAGGCTACCGTGACCGGTCCCTGGATAAAGAAGGCATGCTCCTAATGTTAAAAATGGCTTAATTAATTTCAAAATAGTCTCCTTTACATTATATAATTTTCTCAAAGTCCAGAAAACATTTTTCGTCAGTGTATGGAGGGTTCTTAAATAAGTTTTAAAAATCATGTGTGATTCGTAAGAAATCAAAGATAAAACAATTAAAATGTACTGAAATATTTTATAGGCCTACTTGCTTTTTCTTGAAATGAAAATGGGTAGTGATCTTAAATTATTCAATAATTATTTGTACAGATATGTTGGGGTCGAAGATTTTTATTATGCAGCTACTTAGTATCAGAATCTCTGTTGTCGAAAAAAAAGAATTTATTTCTTAATTAGTAATGTTACATTTTACAAAATAGTAGTAAATTCGCCGAACAATGATCAGAGTGTTGTCTAGACATTCCTTATGTTCCTAACGAAATCAAACATGTTTCACCTCAACCTCGATGCAAAATTCCATAATTTAAAATAAAAAGAATCATTTTAACCAACTTGAACTTTTTGGTCCACAGCAACGAAATTTGTGACGTCTGTCTTCATAAGAATCGCGGTGATAACTTGCCATTCCATTAATGTATCCTGCACCAGGACATTGGAAATGGACAACTTGGTCAAAGTCGTTGACGTATCCTTTAAGAATATAATAAAGTCACTGAGCAAATATTATAGCTTATAAAATTACTTTACATATATATAATGGATGCGAAATACATGTAAGAAGGACTAAAACTACCCTTTCCCCCCACGTACTAAGTAAATTAGTATTGCACGGTTTTTGCACCTTTTTTTCATGATAAACAAAAAAAAATACTATTGAATATGTAAAAATGTTTAGATTTTCTTAGTATTTTTTTTTGTCTTTGCATAGCAATTTGTAATTTTCCAAAACACTTCATGAAATTTAGTATTTAAAAATTGATTTGTCTTCAATAAACCCACCAGTCCATTCACAGTTCACAGCTACATCTGAAGTTCTTATAACATTTCCACAATGGAGTTCATAACGCCTGTCTTCGTAATTATCTCGATGATATGACACAACAGCGTCGATGGCTTGGGTTTGCAGAGGACACTGAAAGTTTAATGGACGGTCCCATTCGTTCTTCCAGGTAAAAGCCATTTGAAAAGAAAGCAGCAGGCATAGACCCAGAAGCAGTTGCGGCAGACTATTCATCTTATAAGAAAACACAAAAACGAAGCTCATCTAGACTGATTGATTAAGCAATTACATACAAGTATCAATCTTATGAAAAATAATCAATTTAGAGGTCAGTTCTTAATTAGGATGAACAATTTAGCTACTATTTTAACCCCCCCCCCCCTTGTATGTACTAATTTTAAAAGAAGAAATAAATTGAAAATCTGGGTCGGTTTCTGCCTTAAAATTAGGGGTTTTTTTGTTAAGCTTGGCTTTTGAGTACTTGACCTAGCTATTTATATACGTTGCATCTGTGAAAAAGATCTTACAATATTTGATTATCCGACTGTATGAAATTGAACCACATTATTATTCTGATCTGAAAATGTTTTGCTCATATTGATGTGTTAAACATAATGTATCTAACAGAAAACAAACCAAAAATATTATTATAAAGATTGCAAATTCTGATCCAAAATGTATTTATTAATGAAAGACCTGCTTTGGATGATTTACATCACATTCCATATGTTTTATTTTTTAGACCATATTTATATCTGAGCTGAAGGTATTCAACTATGACCGTTTTCTTTAGAATTGCATCACATTGCAATTAAGCAAAGCCTACAAATAACTTTGATAGATTACATGGACTCTCAAAGAAATCTTTATTTTTATCTGAAATAAAAGCACTAATTCATAAAAATCTCTCTTCTCTTCTCATCTCCTCTCTCTCTCTCTCTCTCTCTCTCTCTCTCTCTCTCTCTCTCCCTCCCTCTCTCTCCCTCACTCTCCCTCCCTCTCTCTCTCTCAAGCAAATGACACTATCAATTGTAGACGTACATATACATTGTACTTATGCACATTACAAATTTAAAATGTACCAACCTTTTCTGTGTGTACAATAAATTAGTCTTACTATATATGAGTCCGACTAACATTAAACTTCAACACTTATATGAATATGGATATATATAGTTTGTGGCAAACATCTGTTCCATTTCACTGACACTCCATTTATTTCAACACTTTTCAAAAACATTTTAAGTTCAGAAAATTAGCAGTATTAGTGGGAATGATATAATCAAAGTAGTTTTTACCTGTCCATTCAAATTATATAACTGACAAACTAGAAACAGATGTTTTAAAAGAGATCAATATATGGAAATCTAATCATACAGTCATATCTAAAACTCCTTCCCTTGCTTAAATTTGATATTTTTTTCAGAACATGTGTTTCCAAATATTTCCAAAGATGACTACTTCAAACACTAATGAACACTGAAACGTA